GACAAGTGGGTGAGTGGATGAGTGAGTGGGTGGACGAGTGGGTGGGTGGACGAGTGAGTGAGTGGACGAGTGAGTGGGTGGACGAGTGAGTGGGTGGACGAGTGAGTGGGTGGACGAGTGGGTGGGTTGGTGCCGTACTGGTTTTGTTTCGCCTCGCTATGTTGACTCTCTTCCAGGGGAAGTGAATATGCCGTCGTGAATTTACATCGATTATATCGATTGAATGCGCGTGTTGTGTGCGCTTGCGTGTCTCTGTGTGTCTCTGAAGGATGCCAGCAGAGGGCTGAGGTGAGTAAAGTCCCTGAGACTTGTGGGGGAGGGGGGGGGGGGGGGGGACACAAAGAGCTTCATAGCTCATCGGATTTACTACCCCACCCCCAGTCTCTAGACCAGAGTTTGCCGATTGTGATCCTCAGAGCTGGCAGGCGACAATGAGTTAGCTCCACTGTGTGTGTGTAGTGTGTGTGTAATGTGTGTGTGGTGTGTGTGTGTAGTGGTGTGTAGTGTGTGTGTGTGGTGTGTTTGTGTAGTGTGTAGTGGTGTGTGTGTGGTGTGTGTGTGTGGTGTGTAGTGTGTGTGTGTGGTGTGTAGTGTGTGTGTGTGGAGTGGTGTGTAGTGGTTTGTAGTGTGTGTGTAGTGTGTGTGTAGTGTGTGTGGTGTGTGTGTAGTGTGTGTGTGGTGTGTAGTGTGTGTGTGTAGTGTGTGTGTGGTGTGTGTGTGAAGTGTGTGTAGTGTGTGTGTAGTGTGTCTAGTGTGTGGTGTGTGTGTGTGGTGTGTAGTGTAGTGTGTGGTGTGTGTGTGTGGTGTGTAGTGTGTGTATGTGTGGTGTGTGTAGTGTGTGTGTAGTGTGTAGTGTGTGTGTAGTGTGTGTATGTGTGGTGTGTTAGTGTAGTGTGTGTGTAGTGTGTGTGTGTAGTGGTTTGTAGTGTGTGTGTAGTGTGTGTGTAGTGGTGTGTGTATGGTGTGTGTAGTGTGTGTGTAGTGTGTGTATGGTGTGTGTATGGTGTGGTGTGTGTGTGTGTAGTGTGTAGTGGTGTGTAGTATGGTGTGATGTGTGGTGGGTGTGTGGTGTGTGTAGTGTGTGTGTGTGTATGGTGTGCGTATGGTGTGGTGTGTGGTGTGTGTGTAGTGTGTGTAGTGTGTGTGTGGTGTGTGTGTAATGTGTGTGTGGTGTGTGTGTGTAGTGTGTGTGTAGTGTGTGTATGTATGGTGTGTGTAGTGTGTGTGTGTATGGTGTGCGTATGGTGTGGTGTGTGGTGGGTGTGTGGTGTGTGTAGTGTGTGTGTGTGTATGGTGTGCGTATGGTGTGGTGTGTGGTGGGTGTGTGGTGTGTGTGTAGTGTGTGTAGTGTGTGTGCGGTGTGTGTGTAATGTGTGTGTGGTGTGTGTGTGTAGTGGTGGTGTGTGTAGTGTGTGTGGTGGGTAGTGTAGTGTGTGTGTGTGGTGTGTAGTGTGGTGTGTGTGTGTAGTGTGTGTGGTGTGTAGTGTGTGTGTGTGGTGTTTAGTGTGTGTAGTGTGTGTGTGTGGTGTGTAGTGTGTGTAGTGTGTGTGTGTGGTGTGTAGTGTGTGTAGTGTGGTGTGTGGTGTATGTGTGTAGTGTGTGTGTGGTGTGTAGTGTGTGGTGTGTAGTGTGTTTGTGTAGTGTGTATGTGGTGTGTGTGTGTGTAGTGGTGTGTGTGTAGTGTTTGGTGTGTGTGTGTAGTGGTGGTGTGTTTAGTGTGTGTAGGGTGTTTGTGTAGAGTGTGTGTGTGTAGTGGTGGTGTGTAGTGGTGTGTGTAGTGGTAGTATGTGTGGTGTGTGTAGTGTACATGTGTGTGTACTGGTGTGCTGTGTGTGTGTAGTGGTGTGTAGTGTAGTGTGTGTGTGGTGTGTGTATTGTATTTGTGTATGCAGTGGGTAGTGTTAGTGTGTGTAGTGGTGTGTGTAGTGTACATGTGTGTGTACTGGTGTGCTTAGTGTGTGTGTAGTGGGTAGTGGTAGTGTCGTAGCGATTAGATCATTGGGTTACGAATCCGGCGACCCGAGTTCGAATCCCGCCCAACACCAGTGACCATTATCTGATCAACCGGTCCCGGGCCTCCCCTAGGTCGACTCAGCCTAAACAGATACCTGATTCTGTGCTTAAACATTGCCACCGGGGGAGACAAAGGCGGCCGGGCGTGGTGCTGGCTACCCACCCCAAGTGAGCCACAGTGCCAGTAGCCTTCATAGGCGCTGCTACTTCGCTACGAACAGCACTTGCCCCTACAGCACTCTTAAGGCTACACGGTGGATCTTTGTCATTGTCTGTGTAGCATTCAGGTCCTGCCGGAGAGACATCTCTGGACACAGCTGCGTGCTGGTACGAACTCATCTCATCCTCGCAGTCTTCAGATGCTATATACACTATACACTACTATACACTACACTATACACTACTATACACTACACTATGCACTACTATACACTACACTATACACTACACTATACTATACACGGCACTACTATACACTACACTATACACTACACTATACACTACACTATACACTACTATACACTACACTATACACTACTATACACTACTATACACTACTATACACTACTATACACTACACTATACACTACACTATACACTACTATACACTACACTATACACTACACTATACTATACACGGCAATACTATACACTACACTATACACTACTATACACTACACTATACACTACTATACACTACACTATACACTACTATACACTACACTATACACTACTATACACTACACTATACACTACACTATACTATACACGCAATACTATACACTACACTATACACTACTACACTACACTATACACTACTATACACTACACTATACACTACTATACACTACACTATACACTACTATACACTACACTATACACTACACTATACACTACAATACTATACACGGCACTACTATACACTACTATACACTACACTATACACTACACTATACTATACACGGCACTATACACTACACTATACACTACACTATACTATACACGGCACTATACACTACACTATACACGACTATACACTACACTATACACTACACGACTATACACTACACTATACACTACTATACACTACACTATACACTACTATACACTACACTATACACTACTATACACTACACTATACACTACTATACACTACTATACACTACACTATACACTACACTATACACTACTATACACTACACTATACACTACACTATACTATACACGGAACTACTATACACTACACTATACACTACACTATACACTACACTATACACTACTATACACTACTATACACTACACTATACACTACACTATACTATACACGGCACTACTATACACTACACTATACACTACACTATACACTACAATATACACTACACTATACACTACACGACTATACACTACACTATACACTACTATACACTACACTATACACTACTATACACTACACTATACACTACTATACACTACACTATACACTACTATACACTACTATACACTACACTATACACTACTATACACTACACTATACACTACACTATACTATACACGGCACTACTATACACTACACTATACACTACACTATACACTTCAATATACACTACACTATACACTACACGACTATACACTACACATACCTACTATACACTACTATACACTACACTATACACTACTATACACTACACTATACACTACTATACACTACACTATACACTACTATGCACTACTATACACTACACTATACACTACACTATACTATACACGGCACTACTATACACTACACTATACACTACACTATACACTACACTATACACTACACTATACACTACACTATACACTACTATACACTGCACAAATATACACTACACTATACACTACACTACTATACACGGCACTACTATACACTACACTATACACTACTATACACTACACTATACACTACACTATACACTACTATACACTACACTACTACACACTACACTACTATACACTACACTACAATACACTACACTATACACTACACTACTATACACTACACTATACACTACACTATACACTACACTACTGCATACTACACTAATATACACTACACTACTATACACTACACTACTATACACTACACTACTATACACTACACTACTACACACTACACTACTACACTACACTATACACTACACTATACACTACACTATACACTACACTATACACTACACTATACACTACGCTATACACTACACTACTACATACTACACTAATATACACTACACTACTATACACTACACTACTATACACTACACTACTATACACTACACTACTACACACTACACTACTATATACTACTACACTACACACTACACTATACACTACACTATACACTACACTATACACTACACTATACACTACGCTATACACGAGTGCTGTACCATGGACAAATTGGTCACGTTCTGTTTACGTGACACAACCCTTACGAGTTGGCTGTGTCGGGTGGTGGAAGGTTTTAACGACACAACAACATTTATTCATCTTCTTGGTTCTTTTGGTAAAGTCACGTAGAAGGGAAGTAATAAAATAATAAAAATAAAACACAATAAAATAATCTTCACGACGTTTCGGCCACAACGCAAGCAGCCGTCCTCAGGTGAAAACCAGGTCCGTCGATGCGACAGCGTCGTGAGGATTATTTTATTGTGTTTTATTTTTATTATTTTATTACTTCCCTTTTACGTGACTTTACCGAAAGAACCAAGAAGATGAATCCCTGCAGTCACGAAAGCTTTAAATCGAAATTTTACATTCATACATTTAAGCGATCTAACCCAAAAACAACCTCTATTATGGATGATATTGCTTGCGAAAATCTTCCGCGTGTTCAACTGAAGCTCATTTCTGCCGCCGGATTTCCCATTGCCGTTTCAGTACCCTGCTCGCCAACTCTCGACCGAGACACCGCGCACGCAACGCTCCGGATCTCCGCAGACCTCAGGTCCGTCGAGAGGTACCAGCCTCCCCCAGCGCCACCACCACCACCGCCACCACCACCACCAGCAGCAGCAGCATCAGCCGGTCAACGAACACAACAAAAGGTTCCAGGACTGGTACCAGGTCCTCTGCTCCGAGAGCATCCCGCCTGGCCGCCACTACTGGGAGGTGGACCTCAAGGACTCCAACTGGTGCGAGGTCGGCGTCACGCTCGGCAGCATCCGTCGCGAGGGTTTCCAAGCCGCCTGCAGTCTTGGGGGCGGACCTGGCAGCTGGTGCCTCTGGAAGTGGCACGACGACTTCTACACACGGCACAGGGGGCTACGGGAGCCGCTCGCTGCGTCGACGGGGCGGGAGGAGTGTGCACCGGGGCCCGCCAGGATCGGACTGTTGCTTGACACCGGGGCTGAGGAGTCAGAGGGCCGGCTGGAGTTCTACGATGCGGAGACAAGGCGGCTGCTCCACCGATTCGAGGGCAGCTTTGCGGGCGCGTTGTACTTCGCACTGGCGGTTTACGAGGGTCGGGTGACGATCGGGGAGATCTGCGAGCGAGTTTAAGAGGTCGTCCGGAGCGGCGGACTTCTTGATTCTGGCTAATGTTGATTTGAAGCTTTTTCGTGACTGCAGGAATCCATACTCTATGGTTGTTTCGGTAAAGTCCACGTAGGTAGAAAAGTAAAAATAATACAAATATTAAGTTCATTTTTAAATAAAATATTTATTTTTGAAAATAATAAAAGCAAAATTGCGACTTAAATTTTTACTTAAAACTTTCGTGACTGCAGGAATTCATACTCTATGGTTGTTTCGGTAAAGTCCACGTAGGTAGAAAAGTAAAAATAATACAAATAATAAGTTCATTTTTAAATGAAAGATTTATTTTTGAAAATAATCAAAGCAAAATTGCGACTTAAATTTTGACTTAAAACTTTCGTGACTGCAGGAATTCATACTCTATGGTTGTTTCGGTAAAGTCCACGTAGGTAGAAAAGTAAAAATAATACAAATAATAAGTTCATTTTTAAATGAAAGATTTATTTTTGAAAATAATCAAAGCAAAATTGCGACTTAAATTTTGACTTAAAACTTTCGTGACTGCAGGAATCCATACTCTATGGTTCTTTCGGTAAAGTCACGTAGGTAGAAACAATTATAATAGATCAGGACGTTTCGATCGCCACAACAAGCAACCTTCTTCAGTCACGAAGGCTTCAAATCAAGATGGAAAGTTGAATGAATTAACAACGATTTTGACTTCCGCAACAAGGTTCAACTGCAGTAGCGACCTCTTCAACTGCTAAACCCAATACTGCACTTCAGCCCTGAAACTCCCTTGCATCCTAAAGCCTTGAAGAGCACCTGTCACCTGAGCGCTGAGCGTCGTCCCCCCACAAAGAGGAGAGACGCAGGCTTGTAGTCTAACGTTCTTGTACTTTATTTTACATTCAATCTCGGCTTAAAGCTTTCGTGACGGCGGGAATTCATATTCTTGGGTCGTTCGGTAAAGTCACGTAGATAGGTGCAAAGAAAATTACAAAAAAATAACAAAAAACTATGACGTTTTGATCGCAACACAAGCGGTCGTCTTTTTCCTGAACAACTACACTACTATACACTACACTATACACTACACTACACTATACACTACACTATATAATACACTACTATACACTACACTATACACTACACTACTATATCTTCTTGGTTCTTTCGGTAAAGTCACGTAGAAGGGAAGTAATAAAATAATAAAAATAAAACATAATAAAATAAAATAATATAATGTTTTATTTTTATTATTTTATTACTTCCCTTCTACGTAACTTTACCGAAAGAACCAAGAAGATGAATCCCTGCAGTCACGAAAGCTTTAAATCGAAATTTATACACTACTATACACTACACTGCTATACACTACACTACTATACACTACACTACTATACACTACACCGCTATACACTACACTATACACTACGCTATACACTACACTGCTATACACTACACTACTATACACTACTACACTATACACTACACTATACACTACACCACTATATACTACACTACACTATACACTACGCTATACGCTACACCACTATACACTACGCTATACACTACACTATACGCTACACCACTATACACTACACTATACACTACGCTATACACTACACTACTATACACTACACTATACACTACACTATATTGCTATACTCGTGACGAATTGGCACGTTCTGTTTACGTGACACAACCCTTACAGGTTTGGCTGTGTTGTGTGGTGGTGGGTTTTAACGACACAACGACATTTATATATGTTTACGCGGCGATCTAACCCAGCAAATAACCTCCCTCTATTATGGATTCTAAAGGCTACCGGTCCAGTTTCCTGGTCAAACATTCGTGTTCAGCGCGGTGCTGTTTTGCTAACAAAGACAGTCTCTCCGTTCTCGCTGCGATGCTTTCCCGAGTGCAAGGCCAGTTCCGAATTGTGCCCCACCAGTTACGTGACGACGCAATTTCCTCGGGATGTCCTCGCCTTGCTTTCATCCCTGAAAAACGTGGGCTGCGCCAGGGCTTGCGACTGATGTTTTTCGCGACCAATATTATTCATAATCAACGTTTTTGGGTTTAGATCGCGTTATTTATAAATGTGTCGTCGTAACCCTCCACCACCCGACACGGCCAATCAGTAAAAAAAATTGTCACGTTGACAAAAGACAAATAGTTCACTGCTTTAGCCCCATACCGGTGTGTGTTGCAACGTGAAACCACAACATTTACAATTTGAGTGTACGACGTTTCGCTGGTAATTGCATCCAGCATCATCGGGCAATTCGCCAGAATGGTGAGGGGCTCTGCTCTGTCTCCCGTTCTTATATAGAGCAGCAGCAGAGTGACGTCATCATTTCATTAATTAGGCATGAACCTGTGAGCCATGCGGCTCTTGACTCGGGTGCAACCGCAACAAACAAAAACATGAACAAGGAACATCTTAAAGTGACTACACGCAACAGAAAAATCCTGGAAAAAACTGCAAAGTCTTCCAGAAAAAACACCGTATTTCAACGCTGTGTGCAAAAATCCCAGTGGGGATGCAAGTCAAACAATAACAACCATAAGACAATGTAGATTAAAGTTATCAGGCTAACTCTGTACTACACCAAACAAACATGGCTAAACCAAAACGTTTTAAAAATCAACAAAATAAAGCTCTAATATCTTCTTGGTTCTTTCGGTAAAGTCACGTAGAAGGGAAGTAATAAAATAATAAAAATAAAACAATAAAATAATTCTCACAACGTTTCGGCCACAACGCAAGCAGCCGTCCTCAGGTGAAAACCAGGTCTGTCGAGGCGACAGCGTCTGAATGAAACAGCACACGAGCTTGGAGCATATATATAAGCTGGGTTGGAAGGGGGGGAAAGGGCGCCTTGACAAAATAATTTGCATATCAAGAGGAATTTAGCATATTTATGGGAAATGCAGGTATGTGATTAGTACTACTTATGCCCGTGCATTATGCAGGATTAGCAGCATTAAAGGGAGGGGATATGGTGATTAACAGCCAACGTCAGTTGAGCGTGGACAATTAGAGCCGAGGTGAAACATAACATATAAAAATATATTTTAAATGTTTTAATGATAGAATATAGCATTGTCATTAGTATGACATAAGTATACCAAGTTTCCAGTCGATACCACATTGGGAAGTGGGTTATAATTGAGTTACAATATTTGAGGATACGACAACAACAACAGACAGAGTTAAATAAAAACGTTTAAAAACCAATGTAAGTCCCCCAATGGCCACTCGGATTTGCCTGTGCCAAGGCCCGGTTATGAAGAGAGGTGGGTGGGATTGTAGCTACGATTCGTCCATTCCGATCTCACTTGTGTAGTGACATAAGAAGGGAGGGGCTGCTGGGGGCTCTGGGATCCCAGGCGGGTCCAGACGCTTAAGCCTCTGGGCGCCAGGCGCTGGGTTCCCAGGGGGTCCAGACGCTTAAGCCTCTGGGCGCCAGGCGCTGGGTTCCCAGGGGGTCCAGACGCTTAAGCCTCTGGGCGCCAGGCGCTGGGTTCCCAGGGGGTCCAGACGCTTAAGCCTCTGGGCGCCAGGCGCTGGGTTCCCAGGGGGTCCAGACGCTTAAGCCTCTGGGCGCCAGGCGCTGGGTTCCCAGGGGGTCCAGACGCTTAAGCCTCTGGGCGCCAGGCGCTGGGTTCCCAGGGGGTCCAGACGCTTAAGCCTCTGGGCGCCAGGCGCTGGGTTCCCAGGGGGTCCAGACGCTTAAGCCTCTGGGCGCCAGGCGCTGGGTTCCCAGGGGGTCCAGACGCTTAAGCCTCTGGGCGCCAGGCGCTGGGTTCCCAGGGGGTCCAGACGCTTAAGCCTCTGGGCGCCAGGCGCTGGGTTCCCAGGGGGTCCAGACGCTTAAGCCTCTGGGCGCCAGGCGCTGGGTTCCCAGGGGGTCCAGACGCTTAAGCCTCTGGGCGCCAGGCGCTGGGTTCCCAGGGGGTCCAGACGCTTAAGCCTCTGGGCGCCAGGCGCTGGGTTCCCAGGGGGTCCAGACGCTTAAGCCTCTGGGCGCCGCCAACGGGGGGGGGGGGGGGGGCTGTGTGTGCTCTGTGGGATGTCTGGTGGTGCACACGGCCCCACCCCACGTTGGACCAGGCATAAAAGGGGAGCTCCCTAGACGATCAGGCCCAGTTGTAACTCAAGACCCAAGACCCACGACCAGCCATCTGAAGACCCTGGGACGCTGTGAGAGCCAGCGCTGGGACTCTGGAACTCCCGACTCTACGACCTTGTGAGGGCGAGTTCCGGAGCGTAGCCAGAGTATCTAGGCTGTGTACCTAGGCTGTGTACCTAGGCTGTAACAGAGTATCAGGACTGTTGGAGTGTTGTATTGTAATAAAGAAATTACCTCTACAAGTGTCTCCGGAACCCAGTACACTTGCACAATTCAGCCAGGTTCTTGGGTCGGCTCGTTTGAGTTTCTGACCGTGCGCTGCACCAAAGATGGATGGCCTATGAGGCTCTGCATTGTCTTGGGCCAATGTGCCCGCGGGCCCCAGCTGATCCGTCATACGACTGGGGGTTCTGACTCTACGCCAGGGGTGTCCAAACTTTTTGCAAAGAGTGCCACGTTTGTTAAAGTGAAGATGCCCGGGGGCCAATAGTTCCTTTTGACATTGTTTTAACCACAAAAGTTACGTGGAAATACACACTGTTGTAAAAAAAATTAATTGTCACAATTACCCTTTATTTTTCAAATGACAATGTAACCAAATATAAGCCACTCGGGCAGACGTGAACAACTCTGAAAACGCAATTCTGCCTTTCATGCAGTCTTATAACATTGAACAAACTGTATAGAATACCTTAAATTTCCATGAGTTGTATTTATTCTGACAGAGCTAGCGAGCCATAAATAACACATTATAAGACCTGAAGCTGCGAGCGTATGAAATCTGCCCGCGGGCCGGACTTTGGACATGCCCTGCTCTACGCTCTTCATAGCGAGACCCTACGACTCTCCCAGCCTGGGCTCTTAGTGCTGGACGCTGGGCATGGGCGTTCGATGCCTTCTCAAGGGTTGCTCCCCCAAGGATCTGGAACGATTTTGCCGGCTGTGATCCGGCACGCTACGAGTTCTCGGCGTCTTTTCGGACGGGGTGGGAGGATGGGGCGCAAGACTGACGATTTTCTTCGTGGCTTTTTACTCAAACGTCGTTGTGTTGTCTGTGTGTTTCGGTTTAGTAGTGTAGTGTGTCTAGTGCAGCGATCGGGAACCTATGGCTCGCGAGCCATATATGGCTCTTCCGGTGACGGCATATGGCTCCCAGACAATTTTGAGTTGAAAAAATAAATAAAAATCAGTTTGGAACTGAGTTTAAAATACTTGTGATATTGCTTAATAAAAACTGTGTCATTTTAAAGTAAACAGAAATTAGTTTTGAAGATAAATTTCACGGGGCCTCAACGCCTGCATGAAGCTCAACCTCACCACGTATGAACCAGACTACAAGGCCATCAGCAAAACTATGCAGCACCAGACGTCGCATTAAAAGTAAGACATATTTAGTTTATTATACGTTAAAAATACTATATGGCTCTCAATGCAATATATTTAGAAATTTTGGCTTTTATGGCTCTCCCAGTCAAAAAGGTTCCCGACCCCTGGTCTAGTGTATAGTGTAACAGGACCCTGCGGGGTGGGCTGGTAGGAATAATACTTAGTACCGGTACAGAGATATCGACCGGGTATAGAGGAGTTAAAGAAAAAATTACTGTATTCTAGTGTAACGTTAATTAAAAGTGTTTGTTTTGACAAGAAACGCTGTGAGATTTAAAGACTCTTAGTCTTTCATTTCCAACACCACCCTCAACACCACCCCTTCCACGGACGGACGGACGGACGGACGGACGGACACATTAATCTATTGGTGGTCTGGTCCACTTCGTTCCTACCAGTATAATGTTTATATATCTCACCCACCTCTCCCCCCCCCTCATTTAAGTGGAGGTTTACGGTGTTATGGGTGGGTGGGGGGTGGAGCAGCCGACGGTTATAAGGTCCATGCCCATTGGGATTTGTGAAGGAGGACATTGGAATCGAATTTTTTTTTCATTCGTCGAGGAACGCGAAGAGAGAAATGAGTGGTGCGTCTCGATGTAAAGCTTTTCGTGACTGCAGGGATTCATCTTCTTGGTTCTTTCGGTAAAGTCATCACGTAGAAG